TATTGTCAAGTTAATTTGTTTGAGAAGACACTCTAAACAAACATTACACAGCAATTATGGATAAACCTGCTGAAGTGAATGCCGTCGTCGCTGTAAGAATCATTTGACCTTTCCCAAATCAGTTCTTCAACTTTTGTTGATGGACGACATGTGTAAACCGTCACATTCCTACTATGAGAAGACATAGCTCCGATCAGCAAAAGTCTATCTCCAAGAGACTTAAACGCAACACCCCAACCTCCAACAGAAATAGCTCTTACAGGTACGATACCAAGTTTTTCCCAAACATTTTTGTTTATGTCATAAACACGAAGCTCATTCGAATATGGTTCCAACAAATAAAGATTGTTGTTGACCACCGCAATGAGAGGCGGGGAATTGAGAGCGTCGAATGTCATGTCTCCGATCATTTCCGGGATCAGCTCCCAAGAATCTGTCACTTCATCGTAACTTTCTCCTCAAGTTAAATGTTGATTATTTTCATCCCGACCACCGATGACGTAAAACTTGCCATGCAAGAAACATCCGGAGCAGAACTTCCTCCGCTTATGCATTTCATGGATTACTGTCCATGTTTTGGTATTGGCGCTAAATTTCTCCGCTGTGCTCACAACCTCAGAGATCCCATTTTCGTGAATTTTAATTCCTCCAGCGAAGAAAGCATCGTTCCCACGGCTAGCAGAACCGTACATGACTCGTGGTTCAATCATTGCAGGTCCTTTGAACCACTTATTCATCTCTAGTTCGTATCGCCACACCACAATGCCCTCAGTCTCCCTTCCGACAATGATCAATTGTGTGCCTGCACAAATTGTTTCTCTATCTGCGCAACGGAAGCAATAGTCAAAAGGAACTTTTGGAAGTTTCTGGAAACTTTGGAAATCTTTATCAAACAGTGTCCATCGAGTGTTATCATCGCTCCTAAGCATAAAAACATATGGTTTCACAAGTCTGCGTTCTTGCCTCACCCTAAAAATAGCACCACTCTTTAGCAGCTGTGAAAATCGTTTGTTGAGAAACTGCAACTTCCAGTATTTTATACATGAGACACGAGCGAAAACCTCGACTTGGAGTTCATAATGGAGTGGACAAGCAAGATAATCTTGTTCCTTTTCTTCTCCTTCTGAACCGAAACAGAGTTCAACATTCAAATCGAAATTGTGGGGCTTGGTGTTCCTTGCCTTGGATTGGCTCAAGCTTGTTCCAATTCTAGGAGCATTGTCTTCTTCTAACTATAACATTTCTCGGTTAATTCTTCTCGCCTCGGCACCTGACATCTCTTTCTGTAAATTCTAAACCACCAAAAATATATATATCTTTGAATCCATCACCATTTAATTTTTTTTTTGGTCACGCCATCACCATTTAATTTATTTGCAAGAATATAGTATTAACATTTTCAATACAAACAATCATAATTTCGAACATTTTCAAAGTTCCATAGTAATGTTATAATTACGAAAAATAGAAAACCATAAAGTTTGTGGTGATATGCAATGTCCCTTAGATATATATATGGTAATATACACGCAATACTAGTTGTTAAAATGGCGATTATAAACCAAAACTACATGGTGTTGATTCACAGAAAATGTATCATAGTTTTATGATTTATAAGTACATACAACTAAAATGTAACTATTACGATTTTACTTTTGCTAGATCCAAAGAAATTTGTTATTTTTATATAAAAAAGTGATCTGCTTGAAGTTAGCACACAACAATTTTCACCTATACAAATTATAAAAAAAAATATTATAGTAAAATGTTTATTTTAATAACTAAACATCGATGAGGAAAAAATTTTATAATCAATTATTTAGCATTCTAAATATCGTAATCATATAGTTCTATATAGTGTTGATCAAAAGCATATGTTGTGTGTACCTTGAAAGTTAATCGATTGAGAAGACTTTACTGAATGCACACTCAAATCACGATTTGATTAAGTTAAAATCCCGGTTCGATATAATATATATACACTTGTACATATTCTTTTAATTATCTACCATATTAGTGATTTTTTCATTGGTTACCAAATATGTTAATGTTCTACCATAAAATACGAGTGATAAATGATTTGACAATTTTCATTGATTTTAGGTATTTATTTAATTATCTACCATAAAATTTTAGTGATAGATTTTTCTTCAAATTTGACTAAGTTTTTGGTAGTTTCATAGAGAAGAGTTGATAGGTTGACAAAAATTATTTTGAATATATTTTCAAATTTATTTAAATTACGTACTTTATAGTAGTGTTGAATATGTTTACTTTAAAAATTACCTATTAGTCACTAAAAACGCTTCTATGATAATAGGCGGTTGGAACCTTAGATTGTCTAAGTCGTGAAGCACATAGCAAATAGTCTCTTAAAATGTCTCTACGGTCTTTGCCAAGGAAGGCGCCATAAACAATGATGGAAAATTGTTTGATAAGGCCGTTTGATCACTACATATATTACACACAAAGTGATCGAAAAATTCGCAAAAAACCAAATGAAAACTACTCTCACAAAACAAAAATTTAGTTGATTAAAAAGTTGTACTGTTTTTACAATAAAGATTACATATATTTAACTAAATGAAAGGAAATTTGAAAATAAATCTAGATAATAAATAGTCTTGCAAACATATCTGAATAAAAACTGAGAGTTAAATGTTCTTGGAGTTCTCTTTGACTTGAAAAGGATTCTTGATCTCTAGTTTTGATCTGAAATAAAAGGCAATTATTTTTGGCCTTCTTGACTTCTCTGCTGGTGCGTCGGCTTTGCACTTGTTGCGCCAAGGTGACCGAGCCTTCCTTTTTTCCCAAGGCTCGACCATCACATATCTTAGTGTAAAGAGGCGTCTTAGCTTAGGTCGGTGACGAATCTAGTTTCAATCCATTGCTTTCCTTCAAGCCAATAGCTCCGTATAGTAGTTTATTTCTCGTCGGAGGAATTCCTTTCACAGCTAAGATTTGTTTTAGTGATCCCTGAGCATATTAGGGTTACAAAGTGGTTGAGGTTGCAAGTTAGAATCATGTGTCGGAACCATAGTGGTTGATTCAATAGATATGTTTTACATAATCTCGAATCTGTTCTTAGAATTTGTAAGAAAGAGAAACTCTTTTTAGTTTGAAAGTGAATAAAAAGTTCTGATCTTTTAGACTCTCTTGGTCTGAGTGTTGTTACTGCTTCGATACCGGGATATGATATTTAGCAAATTGGATCCACGTAACAATGCCAGCCGCTAAAATGACCCAGCCTAAAAAAGAAGTATATAAGTATATAATATCGTTTATTAAGCTATTGGGAAAAAAAAAGAAGGGTTAATTAGCTAACTAGCAATATTTTGAATTATAATTAGCATACTAGCTATGTAATAAATTTAATGGAGTGAATAACAAAGCCACTTGTTGTGTTGAATTTTATACCCTTCACACATGCAAGCATATTCTTTTGTTATATGATATTCTACATAGAACATGTACTCATGTAGAATAGAGTGCTATTTTTTTTTACACAAAATGAAAACTATTTAGGGTAGTTCTCAAAAATTTATCTTTAAACCTTCAAAAATAAACCCTAAATCTAAAGTAATTATAACCCAAACCCAAAATTTATTTAAATTATATACCTTTAAAATTTTTTGGACAATTGCAAAAATGTCACTTTTGGTGCGTTCATTTTCAAAAATGATACTATAGGTTGTGCATTTTCAAAAATGCTAGTAATTATAGATTTTTAAACCTTAAAATTTAAAATTCTAAACGCTAAAAAAAGTTTCATCCGTAACAAACCCTAAACCCTCAAAACTAAACCCTAATTCAACATAATTAACCAAAATATAAATGATATATTTTGAGTAAATAATTTTTAAGAAATGACATTTTTGCAAAGATTTTGAAAAATATGCATTTTTGAAAAATTAATATTTCAAAAGTGGCATTTCTTAAAAATTCACAAATTTTCTTTATAGAGTTTGTGGTATTTTTGAAAAACTAAAACTTTTTAGTGGTATTTTAGTAATGTGGTATATCATGCAAATAAACTTTAGTGTTGAAATGAAACGAAAAATTCGTGATATAATACTATAACATAGATTGTAGAAATGATATAATACGGTAAGATACATTGTTATATATAACATAGACTATAGAAAAGATATTATATTGTAACATAAACCATTATATATAGGTGATAGAACTGTTAATTCTCTTGTTAGCAAGGACAAAACTGTCCAGAAATACATATTATACACACTGTTTTCGTGTGAACATATTTTTTTTGTCTTTGGATCAATTATAATTTTTTTTTTGTGTTAGTTATGCTAATTTCCCAAAAAAAGAAGTATATAATATCAATTTTTATTTTTTGTTGTGTACCACCAGGAAATCGTATCCAGGGTTCGTCTCGTGCCGAAGATTTTCATTGGTAAGTTTTTCTTCTTTTTCTTGTTTTACGATTCGATTCATATCCGGTTGCATTATCTATAGATGAGCTTCAATTGGATTTCACCGTCACACGTAATTCGCTTTTTTAAAACAAAATTGTACTTCTACTTTTCTAATTGGAATGGAGTTGAAGTAATATTTAAGAGTTGGAGACAGATTCTGTTAAACAACTTGTAACCAAGCCTCTAAAATAAATTATTCACCTTTCTTGTTTATCATTTGTTTGATGTGTATATATGGATACAAAAATATATCGCAAAAATATTCTACTAAAATAGAAATAGTAAAAGGCGACTTCACAAATCATATTCACCACTTTTTAAGATTAAACTCGGTAGGTTTCTTCATCATTAGATAAAAAGATGTTACAAAATGGCAAAAGAAAATGTACTTGTTGTTTTTCTTTGCATCAAAAATAATTTATTCGTAATAGTTGATGGCTAATAAATCATTTGATGAGCCACTTGACTAATCCCCACGCACAACTTCTCTGTAGTATCTTCTTCTGCCTTGTCACCGCAACCTTATCATTTTGCATGCATCTTTAGACCGGATCCGCAAATGTAATCGAGATTTTCATAGGTTGCGAAGCTGCAACGTCACTTGTGACTAGTGAAAAAACAAGAGCTGCAACGCCGCTTGTGACTGGTGGAAGAACAAGGGCGGATTCGCCTTTGTACCAAATTATGAAACGTCTGATATGCAAAACAAACGGTTAAGAATATGGCGAGTAATTTAGGGAAGGTGATTACGAGTACGAAAATAAAAATTTACCGATAGGCAAAGCATGAGAAGAGCGATGATAACCTCTAATATGTGAGCCAACATGGAATTGTATCCTAGGTTCGTCATGTGCTGAAGATTTCCATCAGTAAGTTTTTTTTCTTCTTCTTGTTCTACGGTTCAATTCATATCCGGTTACATTATCTATAGATAAGCTTCAATTGGATTTCACAGTCACATATATATTGGTTCATTTATGTACGTTACCATCAAGAAAATCCAATCAAGGTTCTGGACGAATTACTATGTTCCCTGAAAATGTGATATATTTCCATAAGAGCAACCACATCGATCTCGTACTCTTCATACGTTTCCTCTGCTTTTTTTTATCATTCCTTCTATCGATCATTACATACATTTTCTTCTCAAGCTTGAAGGTCGCGGTTCCATTACCTATGAATATTCAACTTGCTTTTCCACTCAGAATCTGGTAGATTACACTCAGAATCCGAATTTCAGAATGGAACGATAAACTACTTCCGCATACTACATAGTATCAAAATTCTCCGGACTTTAAACCATTAGAAGCAAGAGATTAAGATGATAACCAATATTCACAAAATTTGTTTTCATGTACTTTCTTGGTTAAAGATCAAATGAGGCTAACAGTACTTACATTCCAATTTTCCAGAAACACTAATCAGATAAAAGATTCTTCATTTCATCTTCCATGTAAGCCAAAATCGAATTCTTCACATCAATGTTCTTT